GCAGCCCTAAATAGAGGTTAAAGAGGGTAATGCCCTTGTAATTGGAACACATCTCACCCCACCTGTTTTTGAAGAGGATTTCCTCAGTTTTCCAATCCAGTGGCTTTTCCCACTGGATGTTGCAAAGGTATATTAACCAAGACAGCTCAACAACATTCATGTTTTGAGGAACTCAAAGCAGCACCTGTACACCCCTGGGGTCCTGTTGCTGCAAAGCTTTTCAATTACCTCAGTGACCTTAGCCCCAATTATGGATGGATCAACTCCCAAGTCCCCTAACTCAATTCCCTCCATGGAAGATGTCCTGGTGGAATATAGAGGGCACGAGACATATTCCTTCCACCACCTGATGACATCACTGGTTGAAGTCACCAGTACTCCACCGCCACTTTACACAATGTTGGTAATTAAATTCAGTATTAAAGTAAAGTTCTTATTTCTAACAGATTTTCCCCAAAGATGCCTGATGATTTGCCAGAATCTTTTCAGAGCTGATTGAGAGCCTCTATCTTCACTGACCTCCTCCCATATCCAAGCTTTCATCTCAGCAACTGCCAAGGATGCAGTATGCTTGGCCCTGCCGATACCCCTCAGTTGCCTCCAGAGTCCTACCAGCTAACAAGACCTGATGGGAATATTTTTCTAAGTATGATGGCCTCCCTCACCCAGAGTGTCCACCACTAAGTTCAAGGATGGCTGCTGTGAGAGGCACTGAGGCACTACAGCCAAAGCTCAAGGCAGACACCTTGACAATGAATGCAGGAAACATGGTCCATTAGGACTCAGTGTCCCCTGCCATCACTAGGATGTTGTTATTCTCTGAAGTGTGAGTTGAAAATTCTTATGACGGGTCTTTATGCCAGACGTTCCCAGCAAATGCTCACTCCACGTTTGGGTTTATGGGGTTTGTCCAGCCACCACCAAGTGGTGGTCAGTTGACCGCTCAGCTCTTCTCTTCACCCGAGTGTCCAAAACATATGGCCACAGATCAGATGACATGACTAGAAAGTCTTTCATCAGTCTGCAACTTGGGTTGTTGTTATGTCATGTACAATTTTGGGCAGCCTTAAGTTCAAACAGGGTGTTTGTGATGGGCAAACCAAGACTAGCAAAGAAGTCCAACAAGAGATCACCACTTGGCTTCAGATCAGAGAGGCAATTCCACCCAATCACAGCTCTCAAGAACATGCCCACATGTGTAGCTCTGTTCCTATCCACATGGACATTGAAGTGCCCAAGCAGAACAAAGGAGTTCCCAGCTGGACTGTCTTCCATCACCCCTCCCAAGAACACCATGAAGGCTGGAAAATTTGAACTTTTGTTTGGTTCGTAAGCACTAACAACAGTCAGAGCTCCTCCCCCTATCCAAATGTGGAGGGAAACTACCCTTTGATCTACCAGGGAAAACTGAAATGTACAGGCACTAAGCCAGGCTATAAGTAAACCTATATAAAACCAGCACCTCTCACCATGGGCAACTCCAGAGTGCAATAAGGTTCAGCCCCTCTTAGATGGCATACACTGTGCAAGATGCTTTGGGTTGAAAGCCAATAAACAAAGCCTCCCAGGGGTCCTAGAGAATTGAACCTCTTTAGGGTGTCTGCCAGGCCTGACAGGCAAAGCAAGAAACAAATTTGGCAGCAGTTGTGACATCAAATACAGAAAAGAAATTCTAGGAGTTGGTCAGGTAGTAAACCTTTTAACTAGCGATCCTTTAGGTACTTCTGGTTGGCATAGCAGCATCTGCTTGAACACCTGCAGGATTTGGCTGAAGAGGAATGCCAGCTCACTCAAGAACTGAACAAAATGTGGGACATCTACAAATCCTCAGACTTAGACTGGACCAGTCATAGCATATGCAACCCTAATAACATCAGTTGACTCAAAGGGTGGCAAGATGATTTGCAGACTTTAGGACATTAGCTCAGCTGACTCCAAGGCTAATGAGACATCAGTTCACCCTGAGACACAAAATGTCAAGTAGCACGGAGACAGGCAAAGGAACAAACAAGTGCTCTACAGATTCTGGACAAAAACAGAAAGGACACCATGACATAGACTGAACAAGTTCATATACAGACCCCTAAGCCTGAGCTAAAAGGGTGCTTGTAGGCTCCTAGATTTGGGAGATGGGCCTGGGTTTGGTAGTTTGAATTATTAGTTAACCATTTGAACCTAAACTTGAATAAATAAATAAAACATTTTCACTGATTTAAACATGCTAACTGGTTTGTGTTATACTGTAGATTCCATATTTGTTAAAATATTTAATTAATTAATTTAATTAGTTAATTTTAGGGAGGGCAAAATATTTGTTCAGATTGCTTAAAGACAGTAGGTTGATTTAAAAAGTAGAACTAAAACTGGTTGGATAGACAGAACAAAAATGTGTTTGTGGCTTTTTTTTTTTGTATTTCTGATTTTGGAGAATTTAAACTAGAAAGTAAAGAAATGTACTGTACCATACCACCGATC